GTGCCCACCAGGAACATTCCAACTTCAGCCTTCTTACACCTTTCCGAAAACCCAGTTTGATATGAATTTCAACTTTGTTCCTGTTTTGGAAAGTATACACCTGCAATTCATGGATGCTGCCAAGAATCAGATCGTAGAGAACCAGATGCTCTGAAATATAAACATATCTTCCTGATAATCACTTTTTCTTTGGGAAGCACAATCCTCAAGTTGACTTGTATAGTCACTGATCTTCCCTGCTCCTCCATGCTTGTGTGACTACGGGAGAACATATGGGAATGTATTCCCAAGTCTGTTTCCTCCACCACAAATGGAATACCCGACCTTCAGGGGGCCATCAGCTCTTAGACTCACTTGTAAATGGGAAAGAGATCTTTCCCATATGCCTGACAGATACCAACCAAATTGTGTAACGAGGGTACTCATCGTAGGATGTGGACCTGTGATAATTTAACTACTTACTTCTGGATTGACCTTTACAATATAAAATGTATCTATACACACAAAACTCAAACTGTCATAACTATGAAGTTATGTTGTTGTTAAGTGCCATCGAGTTAGTTCTAACTCACAGAGACCCTATGTATAACAGAAGGAAACAATACCTGGTCCTGCGCCATGGTTACAATCCTTGCTATGTTTGAGCCCACTGTTGTAACCACTGTGTCAGTCCATCTACTTGAGGGTCTGACTCTTTTTCACTGATTCTCTACTTTACCATGATGTCGTTCTTCAGGGACTGGATGCTCCTGATAGCACGTCCAAAGAACATGAGATGAAGTGTCACCATCCTCGCTTCTAAGAAGCATCCTGGCTGTAATTTTTCCAAGACAGATTTGTTTATATATCAGGCCACTGCTGAGTTGCCTTCCCAGAGGTATGCACTACTGCTGCCCAGACATGGCGGCCACTGAGGATTGAGCCTTGGCTTCCTGTATCCTAAGTGTCTGGCACCATAGCTCTCTGCCTCCACCTGGCCCAACTCTCCAGCTTCTTGGGTAGGCCCCCACCTTGGTCCACAGCTGCCCCGTGACTCAGGAAGCTCTGGACATGCAGTACCCCACTATAAGGAAACTTGGGACAAGCGGTGAGAGAGAGGACCAGGATTGGAAGTGGTCCTAATACAATGGTAATGTATATATTTTCTTTGAATGGGATGCCTAAGATCCTAACTTCCTCTAATCCCAGGTCTCCCCAAGAAGCAACAACCATGGAAACCTTGGCTTCCAAAACAGTATCCGCTTGATGGCAGTATAACACCAGAAATACCAGGACATCATACTCCGCCCTTTGCTATTAAAAAAAACGGCAACCAGTCTCCAGCTTCCCTAAAGTATGGTGAGTCATATCTTCTCCACTTTTGGGGCTCTAACCCAATATCTTGTGCTGAGTCTCTCAAGTCCTTGCCTCTATAGGGGCAAGTTAGGTTTCCTTCCTTTCTGACAAGGAGGAATGACTCCTCATCCAGGCGCCCTGTGGGTGGACAGAGTTAAAGTCATCCAAGTCTGTATCCTTGTGTGAATGACCTAAGCCATCCATATCTACATCCTTAGGGTCCAGCTTAACTGAGACCTCAAGAAATAGACTGCATCCCTGCACAGAGTTCACCCACCCAGCACCCGACTGCCCACCGGGGAACATTCCAACTTGAGCTTTCTTAACGCTAACTGAAAAGCCATTTTGATATGAATTTCAACTTCGTTCCTCTTTTGGAAAATATACACCTACAGTTCATGGATGCTGCCAAGAATCAGATCTTAGAGAACCAGATGCTCTGAAATATAATGATACCAAATACCCACTTCCATCACGTTGATTCTGACTCATAGCACCCCTATAGGACAGAGTAGAGCTGCCCCATAGGCTTTCCAAGGCTGTAATCTTTATGGAAGCAGACTGTCATATCTTTCTAGAGTGGAAAGGCTTGAACCAACAACCTTTTGATTAGCAGCTGAGCACTTTAACCACTGCACCACCACAGCTCCTCAAGATACTTTTCTACCATATTGGAAAACCACTCAATCCTACACCAATGTCACCATGCCGTACATCTACATTGGGAGCCTCTCCTTGAGATTTTCTCGACTCCATTTTTATAAGATGACAGACTTCACTGTCATGTACAATCTGTTTTTGAAAGGAGAATGAACAGAAAAAAGTACACTCACCAAAACAACAAGCTGAGAGGTGAGCAGTATTCTTTGTCCTGTCTTTTTTTCTAGTCTGTTTCTTCTGCACCAAGAGGCTCAAATATACTTGACTTGATTTCAGATTGCCAGAATGACTGTGAAATGGTGTCCATGTACGCCCAACCCACTCGACACACGTTATTTGCTCACCTAAAAATGTATATAGATTTCTTTTGTTTGTTTGTTTTTAATGCTATTAGATGAAGAATAGGAAAAACAACAATTAATAAATCATGATATGAATTTCAACTCTGTTCCTCTTTTGTAAATTATACAAATATAATTCAGGGTGTTGGAAAGAGTTGAATCTTACAGAACTAGCTCCTGTGAAATTGGAAGTTACCTGCCCCAGAAATCTCTTTTCTGTGGGAAGCACAGTGTTCACTTTGACCTGATAACTGCAGATCTTTCCTTCTCCACTCTGTTCATTTGTGAATGTGCCAGAACACAGATGAACATATTCACCAGCCTGTTTCCTCCACCACAACTGGAATACCAGACCTTCCACA